GGGGGGGAGCACAGGGGGGTGGTGAGGGTCTGGGGACCTGCTGCCACCCCTCACCCCTGCCAGGGAGGCTGCGGGGGGCTCCCACCCACCTCATGGTGCGGCGTCCAGCTGGCCAGGCCGGGTCTGGATTCCCAGCCTCACCTTTGATCTGTTTGTCCAACAGCCGGTCCTGCCCCTGGAATTCTGGGAATCGACCCGGTGACTCCTGCCGGCCCAGATCGCGAGGCAGGGAGGACAGGACAGTCCAGGAGCCAGTGCTGGGGACAGATCCTGCTCTGCCCCTCGCCCTCCACCTCCGTGTTTCCTCCCCAGTCCGCCCCAGGCCTGCTGTGAAACACCTGAAAATAATAAACACAAAAGAAAATAAAGCACCTGATGCAGGAGGGCGGGGAGCGTGGCGGAGGGGCGGCAGGTGGGAACACTTCTCTCCGAGCAGGCAGAGAGCCCAGGCGTCAGCTGGGAGCCCCAAGTCCTTCCGGGGCGTAAGGAGCCAGCCGATGCCTATTTCTCGCCCCCGGCCCCGCGGAAACTCGGACACTGATTCCCTCTTTCTAGCAGGAGACAGGAACCAGAGCTAATAGAAGCATGTGAATGGGACCCATGTGAGCAGCCAGCGACCCCTACTCACGAGAGGTTCCTGGAAGCTGATTTTTTTTTTTTTAAATCCCACCAGAGGATGTTTCCATTGATTTTTAGAGTGGAAAGAAGGGAGGGAGGGAGGGGGAGGAGAGAGAGAAACAGCATGTGAGAGATGCACCGATTGGCTGCCTCTCACACAGGCCCTGGCCGAGGATGGGATCGAACCTGCAACGCAGATGCATGCCCTTGACCGAGAATCAACCCTGTGAGCCTGCGGTTCGCTTGCTGACACCCTAACCACTGAGCACACTGGCCAGGGCTGGAAACTGGTTCTTAAAAGGGGTGCAGCGGAGGGTCCCAGGCCCAGCTGAAGGGAGCGGGAGACAGAACAAGGGCATTAAGCAAACAGACTTGACACGGAGAGCCCAGCCTTCCTCCGAACGCAGCTCCTGGAGTCTGGCAGCTCTCCGGGTCCTCCCTCGTCTCCGGGAAGTGTGACCAGCCCAGGGGGTAGGACCTGGGTACCGACTCTGAAGGCTCTGCGGGCACATGGCTCAGCCTCCACCACCCACAGTGAAGGTCGATCGACAAGCCCCACTCAGGGCGGAGAGCTTGTTACCCCCACGCTGACCAGTGAGCAGAGCATTCCAGGGTCACCGAGGAAAACCCCACATGTGAGAAAGATTACAAAGAAAAATCAACCGGCCAACTGAAGAATACAGACACCCAGCAGGGAGGAGAAAATGCCCCCTGCCCGCCGGCGTGTCTCAGGGAAGCTGATTTGACCTATGAACCAGGAGGTCACAGTTTGATTCCCTGTCAGGGCACATGCCCGGGTTGTGCAGGCTCCATCCCCAGTAGGGGGCATGCAGGAGGCAGCTGATCAATGATTCTCTCTCATCACTGATGTTTCTATCCCTCTCTTTCTCTCTCCCTTGTTCTCTGAAATCAATAAAAATATATTTAAGCCCTAGCCTGTTTGGCTCAACGGATAGAGCGTCGGCCTGTGGATTGAAGGGTCCCAGGTTCAATTCCAGTCAAGGGCATATGCCCGGGGTGCAGGCTTGATCCCCAGTAGGGGGCGTGGGGATGTGTGCAGGAGGCAACTAATCAATGATTCTCTCTCATTGATGTTTCTCTCTCCCTTTCCCTTCCTCTCTGAAATCAATAAAAATATATTTTTAAAACTTCTATATAATCAAAGGGTAATATGCAAATCAACCAAGTGGCAGAACGACCAGTCACTATGACGCGCACTGACCACCAGGGGGCAAATGCTCAATGCAGAAACTGCCCCCTTGTGGTCAGTGCGGCTGATGGCTCGGGCTGATGGCTGGCGAGCGCAGCGGCCCACCTCCACAGCCGCGCTAAGGATGTCCAACTGTCCATCAGTCAGACAGCCCCTGGGGCTCCCAGACTGGGAAAGAGCGCAGGCTGGGCTGAGGAACCCTCCACCCCTGAGTGCACAAATGTCATGCACGGGTCCTCTAGTCCAGGGGTCCTCAAACTTTTTAAACAGGGGGTCAGTTCACTGTCCCTCAGGCCGTTGGAGGGCCAGACTATAGTTTTAAAAAAAACTATGAACAAATTCCTATGCACACTGCACATATCTTATTTTGAAGTAAAAATACAAGCCAAAACCGGTTTGGCTCAGTGGATAGAGAGTCAGCCTGCGGACTGAGGGGTCCCGGGTTCGATTCCGGTCAAGGGCATGTACAGAGAAACATCGATCAGCTGCCTCCTGCACATCTCCCACTGGGGATGTGCCCACAACCCAGGTACATGCCCTTGACCGGAATCGAACCTGGGACCCTTCAGTCCGCAAGCCAACGCTCTATCCACTGAGCCAAACCGGTTTCGGTGTATATATATATTTTTTAAAAAGAAAGAAAATGCCCCAAACCCAAGCAAAACAATCATTACTACCTTCAGAGAAAAAAGAGAGGAAAGAACAGGATACTATTTATTTATTTACTAGAGGCCTGGTGCACGAATTCATGCACGGGTGGAGTCCGGCTGGCCCGCCCCAATGGTGGCCAATCGGGCCAGGCCAGTGGGGGCGGGAGGGGACGTGGGAGGTTGGCCGGCCAGCCCCACCCACGATCCAGCCAGGGCCGACAGGGGGCAGGAGCCGCTCCCCGATTGGTTGGTTGGCCGGCCGCGTGTGCGTCATAGTGACTGATCATTCCAGTCATTCCGGTTATTCTTGGCACTCTGGCATTCCGGCTGCTTGGCTTTTATATGTAGATTGTAATTTTGAGAGAACATTTATTAAAGCTGGGACAGTGAAACAAAGGAAGGGCTTCGGACAGAAGAAGCAACAGGAGGGAGCTCAGGCGGGGTCTGCCTCGGCTCCCTAGAAACGTTACAGGAAAGAAGTGAGCCAAGGTGAGGCTGCTGTCAGCTTGCTGCAAAGTCACAGAAAGGGGCCTTGGAGACGGTGCAGCGGGTGAGCCTGGGACGAGCTGCCGCTGCCCCTTGTTTCCCTGGTTGCTAGTTTCATGGAGACCCTGAGAGTTTAGGAGAGAAAAGTAAAGGTGCAGGCCTGGGAGGGGAGAAAGACGCGGCGTCCTGCTCCCGAGAGCCCACGCTGGGCCCTGGGCTCATTTTAAAGACAGTAATAGATAACTAATCTAAATGGAAAAGAGGCCCCCCTTTCCTCTCTGAAATCAATAAAATATCTAAATATATAGGAATATTTAAATATATATGAATATTTATATATATATTTCTTGTATTGATTTCAGAGATGAAGGGGGAAGAGAGAGACAACGATGCGAGGGAATCATTGATCGGCTGCCTCCTGCACACCCACACTGGGGATTGAGCCTGCAACCCGGGCATGTGCCCTGACTGGGAATCAAACCATGACCTCCTGCTTCATAGGTCAATGTTCAACCACTGAGCCATGCCTACTGGGCAATAAAAAAAATTTTTTAAAATAAAAATGGGCCCAGCCGGTTTTGCTCAAGGAGTAGAGCATGGGCCTGCAGACTGGAATCCCAGGCTCGATTCCGGTCAAGGGCACGTACCTTGGCTGCAGGCTCCTCCCCACTGGGATCCTGGTCAGGGCTCATGCAGGAGGCAACAGCATCAATGCTCTCACATCAGTGTTTCTCTCTGTCTTCCCCTCTCTTCCACTCTCTCTAAAAATCAATGGAAAAATATCCCTGGGTGAGGATTAAACAAATAAAAGTATTTTAAAAAATAAAAATGGAAAAGAGCACATCTCAAAATGCTGAAGGAAGATTATTTCTAAGACTTCTATTCCCATCCATCACACAGGAAGGTGGAATAGACCTTTTCATGTCGGATTTTTAAAAATTTGCATCCAATTGTCTCTTCTCAGAGAGCTACTCTAGGATATGCCCCACCAAAACAAGGGAGTAAACCAAGAAAGGAAGTCCCGGGTCCCAGACACAGAGTTCCAATAGGGAATCCCATCGGGGCAGTCGGAACGCTCCCGACAGATCCCTAGGACGAGGAAAATGACAGACACCCGTCGAGTCCAAAGATCTTTCAAAACAATTTTTTTAGTAATCGCTTTTTCCCTGAATGAAAGCGATATATACATTCTCGTACAAATCATTTTAATAAAGCAATGCACATTGTGTTTATTAGTATTTCCAGTTACTGAATATCCCTTTAAATATAGTCACAAATTCATTATAAATTATAACGGGGCTAGGTAAAATACTAAGATCGCCTATTCAAAAGTTGATTAGCATATCATTCAGCCCCTCATGAAGTGTGTTGTGTCCACATATGTTAAGAGCTTTAGAGACTTGGTTAAAAAAAAAAAGTTTGAGGTTAAACAAATGATAAATTTATTGCAAACTAAGCGTATGAAAAAGTCCCCGAAAAACCTCCAGAGGAAAAACAAGGAAGCCGTGGGGAAGAGAAAGTGGTCCCGACTCCTCGCCTCCGCTGCCAATGGCCTTCCCGTAGCTGCGACAGTCACACCGACCCTGAGCTAACCCAGGTCCTCATGTCACTGTGGCGAGTGTGTGTGTTGAGGGGGGAGAGGGGAGGAAAAAGGTAAGTCCTCATCGTCCCTGTGGAAGCTCGGGCTGGGCAGCAATACAAGCAGGTTAATAGACACGGGGCAAGTACCAAGGTCAGCAGCTGCATGGGGTAAAGGTGGCTGCGCCGGGGGGAGAGTGGGCACAGGGCGGCCGCTTTCTTCTAACGGTCCACATGGAGCTCACCGAGTCCTCAGACCGGGGCCTGGCTGATTCTGAGAAAGAACTAAACTTCAGAACTTGAGGTGGGATTCATGTTAATCTCCCTGCGGCCAACTGTGCCTGCCGGTCCCCCTCGGTGACTTCTGGCTGGGACTTTAGGGGACTCGGGTCATGTCCTCACTAAACCCCACCTCTGCTTCAGTAGGTCATGCCTCCCCAGATGCAGAAACCCCTTCAAGGGTGTGTGGGTGTCAGGGGACTTGAATAAGAGCGGGGAAGTGGAGGGATGGCATTGCAGACTCCACTTCCAGGGGGGCAGTTTCCCACATGGCTCCAGCCACTTCCGCCACAGCCCTGCTCCCCTTCCTCTTCCGCCCTGAGAGGCCATGGACCTCGCCGAGCTCAGCGAGCACCGAATGACAGAGGCAGAATTCCTAATGAAGCTGGGAGCAGGTGAGGACCCCGCTCCCTTTACAGGTGGGGTACCCAAGTCATCGGAGTTGAGATATGGGCCCAGCTGGAGCCCTGAGACCGGCCCTGACCCCTGTCCACCTTCATTCCCTGGGCTGCCCTCAGGCTGGTGTGTGCTCCCCAGCCCGCTTACTAGCTGGTCACCTAGTCCTCCTGTGCGGGTCGGTAGTGCCCTCCTCACAGGCGGCTGCGAAGGTTAAAGGAATTAAGACCTGGGGGTCAGCTCTCTAACCAGCCACTGCGTGTCCCTTTGATGCACGAACTGCAGCCCAGAGGAGCCGACCATCACCTGGCCTCCCAGGGGGGCGGAAGGCCCTGGGGCACAGGTGCTGTTGGCTTCGGAGGGGTGAGACTGTCCTGGAATTTGGAGGTGGAGTTCGGATGGCTTGGGGTCAGACTTGCTGACGGAGGTCACACATCCAGTGCCGAGCCCAGTGAGTTCCTGGGGGTGAGGTCCACGTGTGTGGAGCCCAGAGGATGAGTGACTGGCCTGGGGCTGCTCAGGGGTTGGCTGCAAATCGAGATGCTTGCTCCCCTCCCCCTACCCCTATGAGAACTCCAGTCCCAGAACCTGCTGCTTGGGGCCAAGGTAGCTGCCGGGTGGGGGTGTGGCTGGGGAGTGTTCTAGCAACACCCCCAGGCGGGGCCCACTCCCTGCTCCCAGGCCTCCCAGGATAGTCCATCCTCTGGCAGTGCCTCTGGACTGGTGACTGAGACAGGAGTGGGCGCCGGCCCTCTCCCCCAATCCGCACCCTGTTGTGATGGCTCCTCTCCCAACACCAGTCTCAGTCCGGGCCTGCAGGAGGGGTGAGGCGCCTGGGGAACAGGCTGGGAGGGCGTTCAGCACCATGGAGAGGGCACGGTCCCCAGCGGCCACTCACACCTGCGTTCTCAACCTCTCAACACTTGGGGGAGCTTCTAGGAATTTCCCAGAGGTCCCCCAGGGGCGGGGCAGGCAGGGTTGGAACCCACTTCTGAATCCTGAGCCCAGTCAGGGCAGCGATGTGCTTCCAACAGGCCCAAGTAACAGCACCCAAACCCTCTGGAGTCACCTCCAGCACCCACCCCACGCGGGGACCTACCAATCCTCCAGGTCTGCCAAAATCACAGCAAGGCAGCCCCAGGAGCAAGCACAGCCCGGAGCAACCCGCCTCGATCTTGTCACCCCACAGCCCTGGCCCCGGGGGTCGGTCACTGCCCGCTGTGGGGCAGGTGGGGGAATGTGGGCAGCTCCCCAGTGAGATTGGAGTGCAGTTTGATGCCTGCTGTGCCTCTGGGTGCCAGGGACAAGGGGCAGCTGGTCCGAGGTTGCACAGGAGGGCAAGGCCTGCCTATCACAGACACGTGACAGACACCGAGAGGCCAGACAACGGGTCTAGCTCAGAGCCTGGTACAGGAAAATGACCAACCAAGGCGGCTGCAGCTCCCGCCTGGGCCCTTTCAAGGTCTGGGAACACACGATTCAGAAGTTTGCTATAAATACATGTGTTTGGTGAGTGAGGGTGACAGAGGGCGGAGAGGGGGCTGTACACAGCTGGTATAGGCTTGGAGGCTGAACACCACAGGGACAGACAGTCTGCCAGCGGGGCAGGCGGGCAGCATCCTGGGGCCTGTAACACTTGGTTGTTGGGGTGCCGGCAGGAGGCCTGTCCAGGGCAACCCGGCCCGAGTGGGCAGCAGCATCTGGACTCAGCTCACATCATTCAGGGCCTGGTGGGACATGAGGCCTGGTCAGGAGGGTGCTGGGTCGCCTGGGGCTGAGGCAGGCGCCCCAGGAAGCCCTGGGTCCCCCCACCAGGCCCATCCACCAGGGGCTCACCTTGCGGGCAAACTCCGGCAGGACAAAGGCCGCCCGGTGCACGTCGGAGTTGTAGTATCTCAGCTGCATCTGTTCCACCTGCTTCTGCATCAGCGGCCGCACCGGCTCCTGGAAGTTGGTGCTCTGGGGCGGGGGCGAGGGGGCGTCAGGGGAGTGCTTCCCGTGCCCACCTGTCCCTGCCCTGCCTCCCACCCCCCAGACAGCCGGAAGCTCACTGGGTTCTTGCTGCACAGCATGAAGCCGATCTGGCCGCTGGGGTAGGTGGGGATGGTGCAGTAGGCGTAGCGCACCACGGGGAAGAGCGACCTGCAGAAGTGCTGCATGTCCTTGATGAGGTCCAGGTGCAGCCACTGGCACTCGCCTGGGGGAGGCGGCAGCGGTTGGTGGTGGCCGGCCCCACCCTGCCCGCCACCCGCAGCTCAGCGTCTCTGGCGCTCACCCTGGCAGCAGAGGATCCCGTCCTCCTTGAGGGCCGTCTTCATGAGCTGGTAGTAGGACTCCTTGAAGAGGCTCTCGGCTGGGCCTGCAGGAGGGAGGGCCAAGCGACACTGAGCACATTCTGGCTGAGGCCCCTGAGCCTGGGCTACACAGACCCACAGAGCGGCCAAGGAGCAGAGCCGGGACTTGAACCCAGGGCTGTGGGACTCAGAAAACAACCAGGAAAGGGCACTTTAACCCCATTCCCGGGGGATTCTCATT